GTTGCCGGAACAACAATACCAATAAAAAATATATCGCTGTTACAGGTGCGAATAAAATAAAAAAAAATTCTATTATCGCCTTCTTCATTTTTTCTTATATAATATTACCGAAGTTAGCTACTCCGAAAACATATCGTCAGATGGGTATATAACTTCCATAATATATTCTGTGATCACGGAAATTCCAGAATTTTGGAAAATTTCACTGACCTCGTCTTCTTAGAAAAGATAAATATTTGACGAACGATTCACGATTGCATCGTCAGCGATATATTAGTACCGATTTTTCTTCGAATTATGTATGCCGGTGCGAGATTTTCCAAAATATATTTGACGATGCATTTAATCATACGTCGTCGGCGATATGGGTCAGCGAAAAATTCTCCATTACCGCGAATACTATGTGTCAGACACTAGCTCCGCTATTAACGTTGACGACGCAATCATGAATCGTTCGCCATTCGAATGATGATGCGAACACTAATATATGTTCTCTACATTGATCATCGAATTTATGAGAAGTGCGAATACCAGCGATCAATGTAGTCGATTCGGTAATACGTCCAGGTTATCAAAAATGTAATACGCAAAAGATAAATTTTTTACGTCGATGACGAACGATTTATGCTTCCATCGTCAGAGATATATTATATAAGAAAAAATTATGCTTTCTATGATGGCATATGATTGAATGCATCGTCAAATATATTTCGCTGACTCGACCTCGACTTCTTAGAAATCTAATTTTTTAACAATCGGAGACACCAACTATATGATAAAGGTTTCCAAAGCTGAAAAATATAGTAAACTTTTGGATTCCATGGTGCTCCCGACTCTTCGAGTCATGACGACGTAAGCGTAAATTCTTCATCATTAATCTGGAATTCGAGTGATGTCGCGGAACAATAAGTGTCAAATATTTATCTTTTCTAAGAAGTCGAGGTCAGCGAAATTTCCAAAATATATTTGATGATGCGAATACTAATATATCGCTGATGACGCAATCACGAATCGATCGTCAAATATTTATCTTTTCCTGTCCACTCGTGTCCAGATAAATATAGATTACCGGTATTTTTTCTGAAAATCACCGCGGTTTCCAAAATATATTTGACGATGCATTCAATCGTAGTATTCGCGGTAATGGAAAATTACTGATAATTAATACGCGTCGCCTTATACTACATATAGTACTCATAGTAGATTATCGATAATTTTTCTTTCTAAGAAGTCGAGGTCGAGTCAGCGAAATATATTTGACGATGCATTCGGTTAACATCTAATTCTATTTCGGTAAAAGGTAAAGTCTCGGGCGAGTCTCACGGAGGAGGATGCTTTGCATCTAGCGGTATATAAGTAGTAATTACATTGATCAATGATGAATAATTTATGCTTTCATCGTTAGTCAATAATTCGAAAAAAGATTTTCCAAAATATATTTGTCGATGCATTCAATCGAGATGACTAATTGTAATACGTAAAAGTTATCAAAAATATAATCCAATTTTTCGCTGACACGATCTCGACTTCTTAGAAAAGATAAATATTTGACGAACGATTTATGATTGCGTTGTCAGGGATATATTAGTGTTCACATCACCGTTCGCAGATTTTCGAATTGTTATCCCTACGTAAAAACAAAAATTTATCCGAAATTTCAGCGATCAATGTAGTCGATTCAGTAATACGTCAAGGCGGTAATACGTCAAGGTTATCAAAAATGTAATACGCAAAAGTTATCAAAAATATAATCCAATTTTCCGCTAGATGCAAAGCATCCTCACTCCGTGAGACTCGCCTTCTTAGAAAAGATAAATTTTTTACTTCGATGACGAACGATTTATGCTTTCATCGTCAGTGGTATATTAGTATTCGCACTTCTCATAAATTCGGTGATCAATGAAGAGAACATATATTAGCCGTGTCTTCGAGTAGGCGCTATATTTTGGAAAATTTCGTTAGACTCGACTTCGATTTCTTAGAAGAAAAAAATTACTGATTTCTTTTATCCTGGATCAATGACGAAGAATTTGGACTTACGTCGTCACTCATGTTTCCGAGTATAAATCGTTCATCATTGATTAGTTGCCGCGCTCAAATTTCTGGATTCCATGAAGCTCTTTCCAAAATATATTTGACGAGCCATTCGAATGACGAACTATTCACGATTGCGTCGTCACGAAAAATTTCAGGGAATATCATAGTGAGCGAATACTAATATATCGGACATGGCTATGCTCTACGTATTTCTAAGAGGGGATAGATGCGGAGCACCCTTATTTCATAAGACAATTCGGCACTCGAATGACGACGTATGATTGAATGCATCGTCAAATATATTTCGCTAACTTGGCCCGAAAAAGCTGATCAACGTAGAGAGATATATTAATCCCGCGACTTCGAGCAATGAAATTGCGAGGTGTGAAATTCAGAATGATTTAAATATGTATCGATAAGTAATTTTTCCAGAAATTTCTATGACGATCTATTTGTGTATGCGTCGTCGATCGGAGAAAAATTATTGTTATACATAAGCTTAAGCAGAAATATAATCGGGCCTTATAATTATGCGAATACTAATATATCCGACGACGCAAATGCAAAATGCTCGTCATACCTGAGACGATGAAAGTGGATTAAATTTTTGATAACTTTTACGTATTTCATTCAGCCATCTCGCTTAAATTTCGTGAATTTGGGTTCCGCTCCCGAAG